AATATGCACTGATTCTTATTTAAGCTACAAAAGTTATTTAGGTAAGAGCAGTGAGTGATTTTCTCTTTGTCTTTAGTTCATGGCCCCAAATAGTGCAAGCCGTAGCGATATGCATATTGCGATATGTACATTTGCGATATTTCGATATATTGCACAGCCCTAGTCTCCACAAACATATTCAGCAGCACAACTGTTTTGAAGCTGGAAATGTCGCACACATTGGTTCTGAATCCAGATGAACAGCAGGAAATCACCAGTGAACTCCGGACTCACCCGAAGCCTCTCTTACAGTTGGGATGCTGGCCTTCGTTCTCCAGCGCCTCTGGGATTCCCATCCGGCTGTTCCCGAGCCCTTCTCCGTCCCTCCAGCCCTGCTTCTCCATCACACGCCGGCCCACTCCCTACAACACACACACACACACACACACACACCATTGATCAGTTTTTATTTTAATTATTGACAAAAAGTGTAAATATAATCATAAATCTTAATTTATTAATTTATAAAAAATATACATTAAATCATACAATTATAAAATGGTAAATCTTAATTTATGAAAAACACATTAACACTTTTTAATTTTAATAAAAAAAATTAAAAAAAAGTAAACGAAATCTTAACTTTTCAAAAATAAAAAAAAAATACAAAGTATAAATGGTCACAAAATAAAATCAAATGTATGAAAAATGACATGTACACTTTTTGGTTATAAAAATTTGAACGTAAATACAATATACTAAATCTTGCAGTGAATGAAAGGGGTCATGGACTGAGAAACCAAATTTCTCTTCATCTTTTGACATGTAAGAGGTCATTGTAATGTAAAAGCATCCTGTAAGTTTCAGAACTCAAATCTTTCTCATTAGATTTGATTTCTCATCATTTCTCATGTCGCCTCTGGCTTGCTTAGTTGGGGACACTTCATTTCCAGCGATACCGTTGACTTGATTGCAAAGATACTATTTAAACTGAGCTGGATGTTGACATCACTGAATTCAATGATGAACTGTCTTTAACTGAAAAATTAGTGTTTACTATTGTCATTTTGCATTATTGACACACTATTTTCCTAATTAATGCTGTTCAGTTGCTTTGACACAATCTGTATTGTTAAAAGCGCTATATAAATAAAGGTGACTTGACTTGACTTGACTTGACTCATTAGTCTAAAAACAGCTGATATTGAAGCCAGTCTGCCAAAATGACAGCTTGTGGAATGTGCCACTCTATGATGTAATAGTGTGGATCAGTGTTGCCAACTGCTTTCAATTGAAAGTAGCTAAAACTGGTAGCTAAATGTCACTAGATGACATCACAATGGCAAATTCACTGATCTATATAAAGATGAAGGTAGATCAGTGGGCAAGATGAGAACTTAGATAAGGTTTGTCCAAGCAGTTGCTATATTTGTCCCTAAACTTTTGAAAAAAGTCTCAAAAGGGGCGGGGAAGTCGCTAAATTTAGCTACAAAGTAGCTAAATTGGCAACACTGCACCTACCTACTTATTCTTTATTGGTGCTTGCGAAGCAAAGTATCTATATTAATATTACTGGTTCTTCTTTAGCTCTATTCGTTCCGCATCATTTGCGCTATGGGCTTATGTAGTTCCTCCCATTTTCAACTCTGTGCTTATTGTCTTCTGTCTTCCAGATTGTATTTCCACAGCATGATGGTACGATCTTACAGCTTTATAAATGAACCGTTTGTATAAAAAATGTCCTGGTCTACTTACATTTGTTATGACATCCGCTTTGAAGATTACAATGCTCATGATAAATTTTGTTAACTCTACAATAAGTAAATCCACTTCACCAGCTAATTACTCTTCAACAACAGCGATGCTATAGAAATACACAGAGCTACTGCAAAAACGGAAGTACAAAGACAAAATTTTAAAGATGCCGATTGTTTCTCTGACTATAAAGCTATAGGTTTTAGTCCTAAACCGCAGAAAAGTATCAGCATTCTCAGATTGTAGGAATTTCCGATTAGTTAATAAAATGGCGATTTTCAATTTAAATTAAAATTTTTCAATTAAAATAAGTTACATTTTACATGCTGGATATGCTGGACACTTGTTGGCTGATTTTTCCTCACTATCTGACACAAAAAATCCATTAAAGTTGTCATGAACTGACAAATCCAAATTCCATTGATCTTTTGATATTTTAGAGGTCATTGCGCTATAAAAACATTCTGTAAGTTTCAGAACTAAAAACTTTCTTGTTAGTCTAAAAATGGCGTATACTGAAGCCAGTCTGCCAAAATGACAGCTTGTGGAATGTGCCACTCTATGATGTAATAGTGTGGATAAGCACCGCCTCACTGCCTGTTTGGCCCCGCCCACCGACTCTACATCACTGCCTGTTTAGCCCCTCCCACCGATTCGACATCACTTCCTGTTTAGCCCCGCCCACCGATTATACAAAGCTGCCTGTTTAGCCCCGCCTACCAATTCTACAAAGCTGCCTGTTTAGCCCCGCCCACCGATTCGACATCACTTCCTGTTTAGCCCCGTCCACCAACTCTACATCACTGCCTGTTTAGCCCCGCCCACCAACTCTACAAAGCTGCCTGTTTAGCCCCGCCCACCGATTCGACATCACTTCCTGTTTAGCCCCGTCCACCAACTCTACATCACTGCCTGTTTAGCCCCGCCCACCAACTCTACAAAGCTGCCTGTTTAGCCCCGCCCACCGATTCGACATCACTTCCTGTTTAGCCCCGTCCACCAACTCTACATCACTGCCTGTTTAGCCCCGCCCACCAACTCTACAAAGCTGCCTGTTTAGCCCCGCCCACCGATTCGACATCACTTCCTGTTTAGCCCCGTCCACCAACTCTACATCACTGCCTGTTTAGCCCCGCCCACCAACTCTACAAAGCTGCCTGTTTAGCCCCGCCCACCGATTCGACATCACTTCCTGTTTAGCCCCGTCCACCAACTCTACATCACTGCCTGTTTAGCCCCGCCCACCAACTCTACAAAGCTGCCTGTTTAGCCCCGCCCACCGATTCGACATCACTTCCTGTTTAGCCCCGTCCACCAACTCTACATCACTGCCTGTTTAGCCCCGCCCACCAATTCTACAAAGCTGCCTGTTTAGCCCCGCCCACCGATTCTACACCGCTACACCGCAAGATACTCTGGGGTCCGTTCTTCGTACCTCACTTAATACATCTGAGATGATTTGAAAGATTCCAGATCTAGTAATCGTGATAACTGATCTCTGGCTAATTTGGTTCTTCAAACAAATTTGCGGATCTGATTAAAATATCTGGATTAAGTTGTCTAAGATTAGAGCGTTTTCTCGTGTTCCCCGTAAAGGGCAGATGTATCGATACTCGAGACCACGATCAGAAATGCAGCGACTAGCTGGCGGCAAGACAGCAACGTAATGACATCATATAATTAAAAAAGACACCAGACGAAAAAAACTTGACAAATTTCTGGAAACTGCCAAGCGAACAAAACTACATAAATGCAATAATAGATAAATTAAATGTGCACTGTTTTTATTTTTTTTAATTAATGCATGACTCATATTAACTGTACAGCATGTGTGCAAGACTCCAATACAATTATAAAGTAATTATTTCATCACGAATAAATTTTTCAACGAGTAAACCTGGCAGTGTCTATAGTGTTATAGATGATGACAACACAACATTACAATATTTTTTGCATCAATTTTTAAATTATTATTATTGTAAATTACTGTCTCTGGATCAGTACGGTACTCTTCTAATAAAGTAGCAGTGGCTGGGACAGATTTAAGTATCAGTTCTGCTTACAAAGACGCGATCTAATCCTGTTTACATTAAATAAGCTGCTCCCGAGCAGGTTTAAGCTTAAGGACCTGTTGCTATGATGCTATGATGAGCTTCGAAGAACCAACCAATCCAAGATCATGCCAAATCATCAACAATCAAATCCAGCTAACTGAGTTAGCGACGAACGAAGAACAGGCCCCTAAAGACAGCAAGATGCTGTTCAGTGCCAAGTTGTAGAAAAACAGAGTTTGCCTTTCCTTCCTTCTGATCCCAACATTAGGAACATTAGGTTCTGATGAGGGGGTTAAAAACAGGACAGAGAATAGCCTAATACTTCTAAATTATGATGTTTTTTTATGTAAAAATCTTGATAACATTATAAGTGCACTAGGGCTGTCAAAATGGCTGAAAAGCTAAATTCGAATTTTGTACTTAAATATGATCAAAATTTGAATTATATTAGAATTTAAAATGCATCATTTCAGTTAGGGTGAAGAAAAGCTTTTGGCTTCTCTCTTGAGGCCACAAGAGGGCGCATCGAGCAAAATATTACTAATGCACTTTTCTTCAAAGCACGAGATAAAATTACTATCTGTGAAAAAAAGTGCATAATGTTATAATTTTTAAGTTGCTTAAACAACTATAAACAAAACAGCATCATGTATGTATGCATAGTTTTGTGCGAGACGCGAGTGCAACGGTGATAGATGTCCCTCTAGAAAATGCAATAAATATGCGTTCTGTGTGAACGGCTTGGTTTCAGTTTTGACGTAAACAACATCTTCCCCGCATTGATTGTTCTCTTTTTCTGCAATATTTTGAATGAACAACGTAGCAGCGCCGCATCTAGTGGCTTCAACTGGATTGGCTAACAAAAGCATTAAAATGCAATGACACTTACATCGTCATCGCATCTCGTGTGCCACTGATAAGGCTGCCTCCTTAATGCACACCTCAAATTCGGATTTTTATTTTAAATTCGACGAATATTCGAAATTCAAAAAAACCATTTTACAGCCCTAAAGTGCACCTCAGAGAACAAGTCAAGTCACCACTATTTATATAGCGCTTTTTACAATGCAGATTGTGTCAGAACAGTACAAAATAAACAACAAAGGCAGTTCTTGACCCCTTTAAAAACGTCCGAACCTTTGTAAAGCGCTCAAAGCTGCCGATTTTCTGCTGGCGTCCCGGCAGACCGTCCAGACCGTCCCGCAGCCTCCTCTCAGACCGCATGCGCACATAATCTCTGGCGTCCATATCGCCTCCGTCTGAGCAGAAACACACACAGTCACAGTCACGTCTGATGCTGCTCTTCTATCACAGCGCTCACAATGATCTGATCATGAGCCTTTACCTTTGTCATAGTAGACGCTCATATCCACGTCCCAGTCGTCTGCTGTTTGCTCGTCGAAATCTGTGCAAAATCAAAGAGAGGCAATCACATCAACAGAGTAATTCATAAATATACGCTGGCAATTATGAGCGCACTTTGAGCATCTTTCCTATTCAGGGCCTTTTTAAACTTGTCAGCTAGGCAAAATTATTGGTTTGTTAAAATGCTAGAATAACGTGTGACAGTCTTGATAAAATCAGTAAGAAATGTGTTAAAAATTACAAAACTAACCCATAATGTTTTATTTATAAATGAATAAATAGTGTTTGAGTTTCCAGGATTAATTACAAAAACTGTATAATTTCCAGCTATTACTGTGAAGTTTATTAACCAAAGTTATATGAATATATTAATGAATATATGAATTGTTTAAAACAAGCATTCCTGAAAATATAAAAATGATAAATGCAAATATAAAATGATATAAAACATGTAAAAATTATATAAAATAAATAAAATATAAAACAAATCTTAATTTCAAATCTCAAATTTATAATTGTTAATATTAATTATAAATTTAATATTTTAAATTTATTTTAAAAATCAAAGTTTAAAATTTTAATTCTAAAAAATATGTAAATTTAAAAATAATACCTTACTTTATGAAAAAAATATATATACTTTTTAACTTTTAATTCTAAATATTTTTACAAAATAATAATAATAATACAAATATGAAAAAAACTAAAATAATAATAATAATAGATATTACTTATTTATTAAAACATAATAAATATTTATAAAAATGATACATATTTATATATAATAATTAAAAATCTACACAAAAAAAAATGAAAAACTTCATCTATTTTTGTGATGGGACCAATTACAATATTGGCATGGCAAGTAGAAATCTGTACTACTGGACCAACAGAAACCTTTCAGTATGAACTCAAAATAGCTGTTTCTACCTCCTTCCTCCTCCTCGTGCCAGAACTGAGCGTCTGTGTAGAAGACGAGGCCCGATCCGCCCTTCTCCCACTTGAGCTCGATCTCCTCCTCAAACAGCCTCTCTTTAGTGCGCTCCTGACTGGTGACGTCCTCGTGGAGGGCCTCGTGACGCTCCCACTCCTCACAGCGGTCATCGTCCTGCAGAAAACACAGAAATCATACAGAAGTTCATCCAGACGCAAAAACATTCGAAAGCCCCTTTACATCACTCACATGAATGCACGACACTGGGAAAAAACAGACTGAAAAGTCTTCAGAGTACAAGGCCATTACATCAGGGTTTTAATGATTTTTATATATAAAAATATATAATAAATTAAATTTTTCATGTTTTCAATTATTTAAAATTTGGAAAAAGATGACTTAAATAGCTCAATTTGGAAATAATTAATCATTCTAGAATGAGCGAGGTGATTTTGTTGGGAAGTGTACCTGCATAGAAAAGAATTTCATAAATTAATAATTTTAATGTAATATTTATCCTTTAAAACATGAAAAAAATTAAAAAATAACCAAATAAATAAACAGGGAAAGTGTTAAAATAAATAAAATAAAAATGGCAATGCATTATTTTAGGGCTGAACAATTAAAAAAAAAAAAAACATGAAAAACTGTAGTGTTCACACTTTGGTTTATTCTTTACAAAAACTATCTTTCAGATTTTTTTCAAGTCTTTTTCAAAGGCTACATTCCCACTGTTTCTGACCCATTCAATATGACTATAAAATCATAATCATGGATTAACATATTAGGTTTTAGAAAAGATTTTATATCAATTAATTTGATAAATTATATAAATTCCATGAATAAAAAAAAAAAAACATGAATAATTAATGAAATAAATAAAATTTATATTCAAATATAAAATGATAAATCTTGATTTATAAAAAAAAAAAAAAAAAAAAAAAATTTGATTTATTTGAATTTCATTTAAATCGCAGCCTGTGCAATATGACAACCGCACTAAGCCATATCGCAACATAAATTTTATTATTTTATCATGCAGCCCTAACTCACATCATCAGGGTCGGACAGCTCCTCTTCACTTCCTGCTTCCTGTGACTCTTGATTGACAAGTGGAGAACTGGGCGGGTCCTCTTCATCTGCCTGTGAGTTTGTGGGCGTGTCCTTATCTACTCTCTGTGAGTGGGCGTGACCTTATATACTCTCTGTGAGTTTGTGGGCGTGTCCTTATCTACTGTCTGTGAGTTTGTGGGCGTGTCCTTATCTATTGTCTGTGAGTTTGTGGGCGTGACCTTATATACTCTCTGTGAGTTTGTGGGCGTGTCCTTATCTACTGTCTGTGAGTTTGTGGGCGTGTCCTTATCTATTGTCTGTGAGTTTGTGGGCGTGACCTTATATACTCTCTGTGAGTTTGTGGGCGTGTCCTTATCTACTGTCTGTGAGTTTGTGGGCGTGTCCTTATCTATTGTCTGTGAGTTTGTGGGCGTGACCTTATATATTGTCTGTGGGTTTGTGGGCGTGTCCTTATCTACTGTCTGTGAGTTTGTGGGCGTGCCCTTATCTACTGTCTGTGAGTTTGTGGGCGTGCCCTTATCTACTCTCTGTGAGTTTGTGGGCGTGTCCTTATCTACTGTCTGTGAGTTTGTGGGCGTGCCCTTATCTACTCTCTGTGAGTTTGTGGGCGTGTCCTTATCTACTCTCTGTGAGTTTGTGGGCGTGTCCTTATCTACTGTCTGTGAGTTTGTGGGCGTGCCCTTATCTACTCTCTGTGAGTGCGGTCGCACTGGCGCGACCACCGCATTGTTTAACTCATAAGCGCTGCATTTCTGTTGCATGTGAGAAACATCAAACGACAAACGAAACTGAAAGCATAACGAAACAGCGCTTAGAGAGTATGCTCGCCGCGTCAGCACGAGCGCGAATGTGCGTTAAACGTTCTGTAATTTATTAGTTGGTATATAATACAGCATGTGGTGTGTGCCATGTCTCATATTATTCGTTTTTGTTAAACGTTTTATAAGCTAGTTTGTCATTGTATCTTAGGCTACTGATTTATTGTTGTTGTGCTTTTTAATTAAGAATAACAATGA